GATAAATACATGAATAAACTTCTCAGACATTATCGTAAGGTTCCATTCACTAGAGAGATAGAGAAAGAATACGCTGTGATCAATCCGTCTATAATTCCTACATTCTTCCCGGCTTTAAGAATATTTGATCATATCTTAAAAAGAGATAACACATGTTTATTATCTTTAAAATAAATAAAATAATTTATGTTGGAACGAAAAATAATTTAATAATAAATTGAGGTTGTTTATAGTTTAGATAATAAATCAAATGGAATTAATTTTATAGTAACTACATCATTATAAATAATACATCGGCGATACAGAAAGATTTAAAGATGAAAGTCTTTATAATATACATTCTTTTATTTCTATCAATGATTTTTAAACATCCAGACGGAAAACCATATTCAGTTACAACTAGAAATCGCTAAATGTCCAGAATAAGTGGATACTCCAGAAATTTCCGGACACCTCACGAATATATTTCTCATAGGGTTACTTATCCAATTAGCACGTCAAATTTAGATAAATCATCAACTATTAAATTTTCCAATCAACATCAAACTTACACGCGGTTTAATCTTATTAAATAAAATTTTTTTTTCTTTATTGCAGCACAATCTCAAACAGAAATTTAGCACATCGCCATCACCTTTAATATCACCTCCCTAAAAATTCATCTAAAATTTCTCATGCGTGAATTTCTCAACTAATTTTTGAACTACGTAATATAACAACCAATAGATAAATATGACAATCTGGTGGATAAGCATATATATGGTTTGAAATATTATATCAATCTTTAGGAGAATTGTAATAAATCAATCGAATAAACTAATCGATTAAGCTTGTTTAGTTGGTAGTTTCATTTCCGAGTTTCATCCATGCTAAGCATCACAAGATGTAGAAACTCCTCTCAGAACTCTAACTGTACCATAAATTGCAAAGCATTTTCCAATCTTTCACCACGATATCTTGTTGATGAATTCCGTGAAACTTGATTAATTTAATATCTCGTTTAGATAATGCGATAGTGCACGTAAAATTGATTCTGTTTTCATATAATCAGTCTTCTTAATTGATATGTGCATAGCCAATAAATTTGATAGCCTTTTGAATTTTCAAATTTTACTAAAGCATATAGAACTTGAGTAGTATATCCACATACACGTTCTCGTATTTCATTGTAGAACAATATCTTCCAGATCGGCTGCAGTATTGTACTATTGACATCTTTTCCAGAAGTAAGTGCCAGAATTTTCAATATCATAAGCTTATGCATCCGAAATGTTCGACTAGGAAAAGGTTCTGACATAAAAAATAATATAACTTGATCACACTTCTTTGAAAGTTTAGCATCTTTCTTATGCAAAAGCCCATTTTGATAATGATTCAACATTGATTTCACTCCACTGGACGAATATTTGAAATCACTTCAAATGTCCGAAAGACCTTCCTTGTCGTCAGATCTTGATTTTCCCAGAAATTATTTCTCTGTGATTATGAAAAAGGCTCGCATATTCTTGAAGATCTTTAGCTATGAAGATTGATTTGATTACATATTTGTTCTCATCTTTTGATTTAAGGATAGAAAGACCCTATCGAGTTTGAATCAATCCAATCATCTTTTTTTTATTTTAATCGATAAAAAAAAATTAATATCTTACTTTTTCAAATGCATCATTGCCAAATTAAAGAAGCCTGTTCGATTTCTATAGATGATTTTTGTTCTACTCCAAGTCAGATAAATCATTTTGATCATTATGAGACATTCTCTCTTTCAATTTTCGCCTAAAAACAACTATGAAAGATGAGTTGATATATTCAAATTGAGATAAGATGAAATCCTTTAATACGAACCAGGTAAATTCGTGCTTTACATAGTCTTATCCAAGCATCATATAAACATCATCTTCAATGATTGATTTCTTACGTAAATGTTCAATAATTGACAAAAGTGAAACAGCATAAAGCGTATTGATAACTTGTTTGCTTAGTACCGGATCGATAACGCGCTTCTTTTGCCTTGCTTTTACCGGTTTCCATTTCTATTTTCTGCTCTTCTAATGATATTATTTCCTCAAACCCTTCGAGTGTGAACTAAAAATTTAGATTCAGAATTGACTTATTAATTCAAACGAAGTGGGGTGAAGTAGAAATTGTTTTCACTACCGAAGAAGGTCAGGGAGTTGAACCAAATGAACTTCTTCAGTTGACGTTAGAAGAATCTTCAAGAGAATAACAGTATCGCTAAATATCTATGACATAGATTTTAGATTTTAGATTTTATTAAACTTAAATTTTAGCTTAATTTCAAAACTGATTAATTAATCTTAATTTTATTATTTAATTATTTGCTATTTATTAAAATATTATATTAGGTAATTAATGTTTAAATTATATTTTTTTATATATATTTATTTTAATGATATAATTATTTATATAAGATTTGATAGGTATATAGCATGATTATAATCAAGATTACTATATAAACTACATTTAATTTGATTTTTACTACTAATAATATTATATATAATTAAAGATTCTAAAAGTTTTCTATGTTTATGATTTATAATAGATTTTTTAAAATATTTAATTAAAGAATTTTTGATTTAATTATTATTTTCTTAATTAAATATCTTAAAATTAATATTATTATAGAAAATTATTATAGATAAAATATTGATAAATAAGATATAGGGTCTTTGCAATAGAAAGGGAGGAAACTCCAAAAAAATTAAAATTTTAGTTTATAAGCCAAAAATGTTCTA